GTTCTGAGCTCTACAACTTGCTGTCTTGGTCAAATACCTCATCTTTAGTTTCCTCATCTGAGGTAAAGCTTTCGGGCTGTCAATCACTTTTCATAGCCATTGTACCTCCAGATGATGTTCCTATTGGCAGGGCCGCATCAGGATTCATTGACGCAGGAAAGGGAAGAACTGGTGTTATTTCATTTATCTATGTAAGAAGATACAAGTTTGCTCCTTCTTTGATTTCTTTCATAAAATCAGTCAGTGTTATATTGCCACCTGGCTGCACCTTCTTCTTTTTTCCCAACCTTGGACATTCCCTGGCATTAGAGTTATTTAGTGTTCTCTGGATCCCCAAATTCATGCCCAAGTAAGATGCTCTGGCCCAGCCTGTCTGTTCTGGCCAGATCCCAAATCTAGGCACTCTTCCTACCTTCCTGCCAGTGAACAGTCATTACCTCTGGCCCATTCCCTTAGATTGCTGCTAGATGATGGGCCAGCCAGTCCAATAACAAACTGGAGCTCTGTTGGTAACCAGTATTGGTAACAATAATAATTACTCCTCTTTGAGCTCCTTTTTTGGCTCTGACACTGTGCTGGGAACTTAATTTACGTTATCTCATTTAAACCTCAGAGAGTACAACTAGTTGTTTGTAATTAAAGGATACGAAGGCTCCGACAGGACATATAACTTGGCTAAGGTTGGGAGAGAAGAAAGTTGGGGGGTATTCAAACCCATGTTGTTGGACTTTAGACTTGTGGTCTTTTATCTCCCCCTCCTGCTTCTCCCTTAGTAAATGGCTTAATGTATCTTTCTTTCCTATGTTGTTTCCGTTTTAAAAGAAATCCTCAAAATCTTCAACCTAATGAGTGAATAACAGGGCTATTTCAGACCACCATGGGTGACATGCTTTTGGAAAGGGAGTTCTTTGAGGCCCCACAGGCTCTCTCAAAACACAGAGTGGCCTGCTTTTGATTTCTGCTTGTCAGAATTGAGAGTTATTCTCACACGTCCAAAGTGACTCTAGAATGTTTCCGATTAAAAAATCAATACCCACCTTTCTGTCACTCACATCAAGCCAAAATCAATAGTTCACCCTGGTTAAACTGAATGGTTTTTAAAACAGCCCTCACTCCCATGGCCTGGTCCCTATCACTACCAAGGAACTGAAAAGGTAGCAATTGTGCATGTAAAAATCTATATTGGGCTTGTAAGTATGTGGAATTGTTATTTTTAGTGATATTACTGATGATTCAATTCATCTTATTTGTATGAAAACCTTTTCAGTGATCAATTGTGTAAGAACTCATTCCATGGCATTCCATCTGGAGTTGAATTCCTGTGGAATTCAATAACTTGTTTAAATCCTAGGAGGTGTGGAGAATGCTCATTGACACGAATGACTCACTGGGTAACAAAAATACCAGGAATACTTTAGGGTAATTTGAAATTGAGCAAAAGTTAAAGAATTTCATTACTTTGTGGATTACTTTTCTTAAGTAGACAACAATTGAATCATAGAGGCCCTGAAAATACCTAAGAGTAATAGCAGGGCATTGACAGATTGAGTTAATAATTCAAGTAAACAATGCATATTCTCTTTCCTTCTTACCCAGCTTTGTAACAAGAAGTACCTGCTTTTTAATGAATGGAGAATGCCACCCTTGTCTTATAACTGCCTTGATTATACTTTTATTGCTTCTGCAGCTATTTTCCTTTATGGTTCAGGTGAAAGGCTTTCTTTCAGATAAGAGAAAAGGGGAATTTAGAAAGTAGAAGGTCTGTAACGCTATTATGTAGATCTTTGTTTCTCCAACTTAGACTTTGAGAAACAAAGAAGCAGTTGCCCCAGGGCAGGACCGATGGCCACTTGATGTTTTGGTTGTATTAGCAAAATATTCTCTGGTCCTTCTCCCTCCTGTCTGTGTCAATAGCTGGTCCCATTGTGAAGCTCCTCAAACCACCCAGTGAGTCCATCCTGCCACCCTTCCCAACTGTCCTCCCCCATTGGCATCTCCTCCAACTTCGGAGCCAGGCCTCCTTGTGCTGTTATCATCCCACCTCCACCACTCGTTGGCTAGGAAACTCTTGGAAAAGTCCTTAATCTGTCTGAGGCCCATTTTCCTCTCTTACCTCTTTTAAGGATATCGACTAAATAAGTTGATATCAACTGCATACATACCCAGCAACATGCCTAGAGCACAGTAAGCATTCCACAGTGTGAATCCCTTCCTGTCAGCCCCTTCTCACCGCCGAGTTTCTCGGAGCACGTGCACTTTGGGGAATGAGGTCACAGAGTACTTGCGTTGTGAGATGGGAGAGCCAAGCAGAGGGAATCGGACATTTGCACATAGTTCAAGGTCTTTTGACTGTGCTTTGATTAACTTAATTCCAAAACTTGACAGGTAGGAGAAACAGAACTACGTAACTCAGTTTGTTGAAGGCGTTTTATTCCAGCTGCTGCCTTGAGTCTGTTTCAGAGAAGAGCAATGGAGACTCCAGTCATTATCCTGCCCAGTTATCTCTGGATCCAAGTTGTCACGGAAGCAGTGCCTCCAAAACAAAGAAATACTGAGAGATTTGTCAATTCTGAGTGACTAATTTGACTTATGTTAGCCAAGAGCTAGGTTTTCATATTTTTTAATAGACCTTTTCCATCACTAATTGTCTCTCCTTCTTGTGCCAGTGACTGGGGAAAGCGGGTGACTCCCCGCAGGCCTGGGCTCCTCTTGGCTCTGCAATTCTTCTACAAGTTTTCCTAAGACATCAGGCTCCCCCAGCTTCCTTGTGAAGCCAACCGGTTTTCAACAGCCTTTCTGTTAGTGCTCTTTCATAATCATTTTGTCTGGGCTTGCTAAGGAAGCATTCCAGGGCTAGTGCTACGAAAGCATTTTCTAGTTTCAGCATGTAAGGTGCTCAGTACATTATTCTTAATCTCTCAGAATCCTTCAGAGAATATAAGAAAGAAGGTGAATTTATAGTCCAGGGGTCAAATTTGATGCAAAGACATGAGTTTATTTTTCCTTTTAATTGTACACACAGTATTTATCCCACAACACATTATATTGTTCATACAGCAAGGTCGAAAAAATTTTGTAGTGAACCCTCATATACCCACCTCCACGATTCAACCATTAACATTTTACTCTACTTGCTTTATCACATATCTGTCCACCTCTCAGTCCCTATTTTTGTGCATTTCACAGCACTTCACAGACATCAGTACACTTTCTCCTAAATATTTCTGTATGCTAGAGTTCAATGAGAAATGTACACATCTCAATATGCATTTGCTTACTTAATGCTTATACCTACATAACCCAAACCCCCATCAGTAGAGCATTACCACTCCCAGAAAGTTCCTCACGGCCCTTTCCATTCAATCCCATCTGCAGAAGCAACCACTCTTGTGAATTTTTCCCATGATAGATTGGTTTTGTCTGTTCTAGAAAGTCATATAAATGGAATTCTTAGTACGTTCTTTTTGTCTAAGACTTTCACTCACTGTAATGTTTGTGTGATAGATGTCATTACGTGCATCAGTAATAGTTCCTTTGTATTGCCGAGTAATATTCCATTCTATGAATATCCAACAGTTTATCCCTCTGTTGATGAACACTTGGCCTGCTTCCAGCTCTTGGGCTCTCATGAGAAAGCTAATCAGAGCAATGCTGTGGAACTCTTTTTTCATTTCTCTGGGGTAAATACCTAGGAGAAGACTTTGTGGGTCATAGAATAGGTGTATGTTTAGTTTTATAATAAATTGCCAAGACTTGTTTCCAAAATAATTATACCATTTACACTCCCACTGGTAATCCAGTAGCTCCAAATTCTGGCCACCATTAGCTGTTATCAGTCTTAGCCATCTGGTAGTTGTATAGTGTATCGAATTGTGGTTTTAATTTGAAGTCCCTGGTGACTAATGGTGTAGTAAAGCACTGTATCATTACATGGTTCTTTTCCTGAAAATGTAACATGCCACCATTTAAAAAACCAAGAGTTTTCATGTAAGAATCCAGATATCCAGTTTTTCATGAAACATTAAAGGACTTAGCAACACTGGGCTTGTATTCCCACATGGGGACAATCAACAGAAGCTGAGTGGGGGCTGTTGTTCCTTTAGGACAGTTGCCCCTTTTTCCCCTAGAGCCGCTTACCCTTCCCATAACTCCCAACACTTGGTTAGGCCAATTGTCATACATCATCACATTGGTGGTATTGTCTTCCTTCCTGTGAAAAGGAAAGTGAGTTCTTCCTTGAACCTATGTCATTATCAATACTGGAAAAGGAAAAGGTAGATCAATAAGGCCTTATATTTTAAAAAAACAAAAAAAAAGTGGAAAGACTACAGCCCTTTGTGTCAATGAAAAAAATATTCCTATGTTAATATGGAAATTAAATGGGTCAATTTTGAAAGATTACAATTTAAGGCTCCTTAATGAAACTGCCTGGCTTTACTCAATTTTATTATCTGCCTGGCCCCTTTAGGATTTGGAGTTTGCAACCCCTATAATAAAACACTTACATTGATAAATTATGTCTCAAGATTGCCCTCACTGGGGGTTATTTAGCTATGTAGAGAGATTTCATTTCATGTCTTTTATTGAAATGGGGGAGGAAAAAAAAGAAACACTCCAATAATACTTTATTTAAAACTAGAGGCCCGGTGCACGACATTCATGCACTGGGGTGGGGAAGGGTCCCTCAGCCGAGCCTGTAACCTCTCCCAGTCCGGGACCCCTTGGGGGACCTCACCACCACTGCAGAGCCAGCTGTGAGCTGGACTTCTGGCGGAGTGGTTCTTCCTCTGTGGGAATGCACTGACCACCAGGGGGCAGCTCCTGCATTGAGCATCTGCCCCATGGTGGTCAGTGCGCATCATAGACTGGTCATTCCGCCGTTTGGTCGATTTGCATATTAGGGTTTTATTATATAGGATACTTCATGTGTTATAAAACATTGAGACTAAAAAAATATTTTTTCAGTTTCTCAAATTCTGTAATTTTGTTTTTAATTCCAGGACTGTAAGTGGAAAATGTATATGGAGATAGATGGGGATGAAATTGCAATAACCTACATCAAAGATGTGACATTCAACACCAACTTACCTGATGCAGAGATTTTAAAGATGACAAAGGTAGGGTTCTATTTACGGCTTAAAAGCTTTTGTGAATTCACAGATATCAAACAAAGACATTAAAATACCCCAGCAGTGTGCTTTTGTGCTGTTGATGCTCACATCAGCTGAGCCTCAAGCTGGCTGTTGAAAGGCACATTTTATTTAGCAGATTGAGATCATAATAGTTTTTTGTTAAAATTCCACTTATGCTGTGTGAGCTAAAAGGTATTACAGAAGGCATCATTTAATTTTTTTCTACATTTCTTTATGCTCATTCTGTCATTTACTAAAGGAAAGAAAATGCTAAAGATGAAAATATTTACCTCAAATTTTGGCTCATTTTAAACTTTGGAAAACTTGTAAGGAGGAAGGTTTTCTTGGTTGTGCTCAGTTTCTTGAAGGGCAGTGACGAGGCTAGTCATTGAGGCACGTGTTGAAGTCTTCACAGCTTCTTGAAGTTCACACCTGTGAATCCCTGGAGTGGCCAGAGAGCATGTTCCTGCTTTAGGGTCACTGGTAGAAGCCTGCCCATTAAAACACTGAAGAAAGACTTAAAGAAATGCTTAGCTTCTCCTAAAAATAAAATAAAATAAAGACTGTCGAATTTCAGAGGGAAGGCAAGCGTGGGTGGGTGGGAAGAGATTAACCAAAGAACTTGTAGTCCCAGGTTCGATTCCGGTCAAGGGCATATACCTTGGTTGCGGGCACATCCCCAGTAGGAGGTGTGCAGGAGGCAGCTGATGGATGTTTCTCTCTCGTTGATGTTTCTAACTCTCTATCCCTCTCCCTTCCTCTCTGTAAAAAAATTAATAAAATATATTTTAAAAAAAAAACTCAATGAAGAAAGAACTTGGGGGGTGGGATTTCAACTCTGTACTAATCACACTGAAAATATATATATGAGGCTTAAATCGTAGAAGGTCAACAACAGCCGTGGTATCAATAGGACTGTCACCCTGAACTTCACATGTGCCATTAACTCTTGTACACTCTTAAGTGTGTATTTGGTGTTAGTGAAGGAAATGGGATTGGTAGCAAAGAAGAACCAGGGTTCACCCACTTGGGAAGTGAAAAGAATCTTCAAAGCCACATCATTAGACTTGCAAATGTGTTCCCTTCCCAGGCATCACATTGCTAAACTCCCAAATCCTTTTTTTTTAAAAAATATATTTTATTGATTTTTTACAGAGAGGAAGGGAGAGAGATAGAGAGTTAGAAACATCGATGAGAGAGAGACATCGATCAGCTGCCTCCTGCACATCTCCTACTGGGGATGTACCCGCAACCCAGGTACATGCCCTTGACCGGAATCGAACCTGGGACCTTTCAGTCCGCAAGCCGATGCTCTATCCACTGAGCCAAACCGGTTTCGGCAACTCCCAAATCCTTTTAAGTTAAAATCGCTAAACTTCCAAGTTTATCAAGTAGATTGATTTGACATTCATTGTTGGATTTCCCTGAGCAATGGAGTTGTTTCAATGGTGTTATTTACCTGTAAAGGTTATGATCTGGTTGCAACTTTCCTTTATTTTGGGGGACATATTGCTGTGACATCTTGAAGATGGGATAGGTACTTCTTTCCTCCCTACCTGCTCCGGCTCTGGTTGCAGCAGTTGTTCTTTGCTTCAGTGTCATTCAGGATCCAAGCCATTGCCTGCTAAGGGAAGGAAGGTGTTCAGGGCAAAAAGACCAGGGCGGAGGCGTTAAATCAAATACAAGTGTTTCTGCTGTAATGCCATATATGCATTCCTGACGAACGGCATCGTCTGCAAAAATCACACGCCAACATTAATAGGGCTTTTAGGGAAAATAGAATTGGGGCAGACCACTCAAAATAAGTAGAATTTTTTAACACCATCAGAAGCGATAACAATTCTAGTCAAAACAACAGCAAGAAGAACAAACAAAAACCTACTAGCCCAGTTAAATCTTGGCCAAATTTGCTTTGTATCCAGTTCACAGACACCTGGGATGAAGTGGGGTCGGGGGGAGGAGCAGAGAGATTCATTTCTAATAATGACCATTTTCATCAAAATTAAAATAGGATCCAAGGTGTACACTTCTTCACTGATCCTTTGTTTTAATATAGTGGGGAAATGTCTCCACAGTCTCATTTGCACGCACAGCTTTGCCAATAGCCTGATATAGGGAAGGGCAGAGTGGTTGCTGAAGCCACTGGACCAGCCACTGCTTGAGGAAGGTACTTCTCAGTCTTATATTGTTAAGCGTTTCTCTTCATTGTGAGAAGGTTTTCTGCTGATGCTTCAAAATATTAACATGAATGAATGACCTAATGATAGGATTGAGTGATATATCAGAAAAGAGGAGATTGTGGGGGACCAGAACTGGATGTTTGTAAATATGTGAAAGGATGTCTTATAAAAACCAAAAGGGAGATGTACAGGAGGCAGCTGATCGATGTTTCTCTCTCATCGATGTTTCTGACTCTCCATCTCTCTCCCTTTCTCTCTGTAAAAAAAAAAAATCAATAAAATAGATTAAAAAAAAAACAAAAACCAAAACCCCATACACTGGCACGCTATGAGTAATCACATGTGAACCAGTGCGACTTCCATGCTAACCTGGCATTATGCCCCTATTTGCCAATTGTGTCTGGTGCAGCCGGCCTCAGGGGAACATGCTGTAGCGGAACAGGCTGTACCATTGCCCTACACCAGCCTAACTTTTGTTTTTCAGCCCCCATTTGTAATGGAGAAGTGGATTGTGGGAATAACAGAAAATCAGACTGTAGAATGTACTGTCACATATGAGGTAAGCTTGGGATGGGGGGGTGCGCTGGGGGCGGGGGTAGAAGGGTGGAGGGGCTGGTGGCTTTCTCAGTAGGAATTTATTTGGATGAGAAACCATTGAACCAATGTGAATATGGGAAGATCAATGTAATTACTCTAACAAAGTGTTGGGAAGGAAAGAAAATAGGATACACTTACCTAGATAGAGACTGAGGTAGTAATTCATTCATTCACCAGTTAATGTCTGAGCACCTCCTTTGTGCCACATAATGTGTTATGTATTGGGGATGCCAGTGAAAAAACAGAGTGCTTAAAGTTTAGGGGTAAGAGTAGATCAGTGATTCTTCACAAGGATAGATTCAACTTCAACTACCTTCCAGAGGTAAGGGGGATCTATTATTAAAAGCATAATCCATAGATTTTTATATACAGAAAATTACATAAACTTACACTAAAAAAAATACTATTAAAATTAAAATTCATCTATTTAGCAAATGCCTACTGACAAGTATTGTTCTGTGATTAGGATAGACCAAATCTGTACTCTGTTGAGTCTTATATTCCAGTGAGGGAGGGCGGAGCTAGAAAAGAAATAGGTAACAAATAAGTAAGTGATGTCAGGGAGTGATGAGTGCTAACCAGAAAACAGTGAGACTCGGGCAGGAGATTGCGTGACCAGGGAAGGCCGCTCCTCTGAGGAGGAAGAAGAAGCAAGAAACAGCAGAGGAAAGGCAAGTGCGAGTTCCTGAGGCACAGAGGGCAATGGCAAAGCTAGAGAGGTGGGCGGGGCTGGCGCATGCAGGCTCATGGCCAAAGTGAGGAGTTTGGATTTACTCTAAGCATGGTGGGGAAGCCAAGTGCTTAAAATAACCTAATTATGTTTTGAAAATTATCAGGACTTTATGACTGATGGGACGTACAAAGTAGAGAAACCCTGGGGGACAGGGTTAGAGGGGACCAGGTATAGCCCCGAGTCTCGGCACACATGGAGATACTGGTATGCATCTACCATCAATATGATGTGCATTTCATTCATTCATTCATTCATTCATGTGTTCATTCAAGGAACATTCAGGAAGGATTTACTATGACCTAGGCACTGTAAGAGGAGTTTACACGTTTTATCTCATCAATCTTGTGTAAATACGGAAAGATAGGTAGCATTGTCTTCACTTGGCAGCTAGGAAAAATAGGCTCAAGAGATTAAAGGTGCCCTGAGGTTTGGAGTTGTCAGTGTCATTGTGGGTGGAGTCCCACCAGGTCCTCTGACTGTAAATACAGTTTTCACCAGGTCCTCTGACTGTAAATACAGCCTCCAATTGGACTCCATGCACTAGCACATTATGGTGGTCTTTGAGCCTCCCGGGTCTGCTTTTCAACATTAGAATCCAAACCCTGGCCTGTTCACTGCCCCAGGGTGGCCCAGTGCTGGAAGCCAATAGTGTTATAGCAGCTATTTATCCTCAGCAGCCAAGGTGCACAGCATCTCAGGGAGGAGGCACCTGAGAAATAGCATTATTTGTCAAAGTGTTGCTTGCAGGACAAAAAACCTAAAAACAGAGGTTGATTGGTCTTGAGGAACTTGGAATATAGACTATTCTGGAGCCTGTTGACCAGTCCCCACCCCACCACCGAGGAAAACCCTCTTTTTACTATGGTAGACAGTGATAATAGCTAGACTTCCTCTCTGCCTTCTTTAGTCAGTAAGGAGACATACTATACGGAATTCTCTTCTCCTTTTCTCTCCCCTTCCTCTTCCTCCTCCTCCTTCTTCTCGGGCTCCATGCATCTGTAACTGTCACTTCAGGGCTCTTTAAACATGTTTTTGTAACCTTAATGAACCCTGGGAGGCTCTTGAATCCTGCTTCGTGACACCTGGTGAGTAGGGAAGTTTGGGAACAAGAAAGTGCTGTGTCTTGAACTGGTGTCCTCTTCTTTTTCAGATCCTTGGTATTGACTCTATCCTCTCTCCCTTTTGTATCTGTTGCCCTGTTCCACCCGTGGGGTAATTAGTCCCACCAAACGACCCACATTTGCCCAGTTACCCTGCTGATCAGAGGCAGTCAGGCAAAATGGTGGTCAGATTTTTATTTATTCAACAAAATGTCAGCTTTCAAATACTATAAACAGAAGAAATTGTTTTTTCATTTCTCATTTTAAAAGAAGTAAGTTGAGATTGGCCAAATATAATAAATTCTGAGAGAAGATAGCCACATTTTTTATGACTATAATCCACTAAAGAATAAAGTGCTTTCATCTGGAATAAAGTGGTTAAAATGTGTCTCTTAATCAAATTACCATATTTAGGCAAACTATAAATATGTCACCTAATGCATTTATTTTAGTGTTCTAAGAAGTTAAATCAAAGTGATATGATAACCTGATTTTCTTTCCTTCCTATTTTATTAACATGTGTATGTTTGGTTGTGGGTTTCACTATTTTTTTTTTCTTTTTTTTACAGAGTGATGTTAGAACTCCCAAAAGCACTAAACATGTTCATTCGATTCAGTGGAATAGAACGAAACCTCAGGATGAAGTGAAAGCCATCCAACTTGCCATTCAGCCACTATTCCTCAACTCAGAGGGCAACCCTGGAAGCAGGTCTAACTCAAGTAAGTTAGACGTGCTCTAGACTAGACTCCAAACCCTTAAGTACCAAATTCTCATGCCAGGGACAAGCACCACTCTGTGAACAGATACAGCTTTCTAATATAATACTTCCTTCTTCTATTTTCTTTAATATATTTTTATTAATTTATGGAGAGGAAGGGGGGAAGAGAGAGAGAGCGAGAGAAAAACATCAATGATGAGAGAGAATCATTGATTGATTGCCTCCTGCACAATCCCCACTGGGGATCGAGCCCACAACTTAGGCATGTGCTCTTGACTGGAATCAAACCTGGGACCCTTCAGTCCGCAGGCTGACACCCTATCCACTGAGCCAAACCAGCTAGGGCCCTTCTTCTATTTTTTCAATATTTGTTTTAAATAGTATTTATGGACTTATAGATATGAGCATATTATAATAAATTTCAGTATTTGGTTAACTGTGATAAAACATGACAATTAATGATTATGTTATATTGCTAAATAAAATAAGTATATCTATTTATATATATATTTAGTTTTCAAAATTGTAGGTAAAGATATGAATTTTCTATGTCCAACAAAATTCTTATGAAGCTACTACTATCACTGGGGCAACTTCCTGAGTTCTGAATACCTTACATACATCAAAGTGTAGGAATGACATGAGGAAGGAAGAAGGGAGAGACGGAGGGAGGAAGGGAGAAAGGAAAGTAGGGAGCGGGAAAATAAAGGTAAGAGAGGATAGAGAAAGAGAAAACATGATATGCATATAATGGATAGTGGTAATGGTAATTATAGATGATACTAGAGGCTCAGTGTACAAAATTCGTGCAGGAGGGGGGGTGTCCCTCAGCCCAGCCTGCAACCTCTCCAATCTGGGACTCCTTGGGGGATGTCTGACTGCCCACAGGGATCAGGCCTAAACCGGCAGTCAGACATCGCTCTCACAATCTGGGATTGCTGGCTCCTAACCACTTGCCTGTCTGCCTGCCTGCCTGATCGCCCCCTAATCGCAATCTGGGATTGCTGGCTCCTAACTGCTCCCCTGCCGGCCCAGTCTCCCCAACTGCCCTCCCCTGAAGGCCTGGTCGCCCCTAACTGCCCTCCCCTGCAGGCCTGGTCACACCCAATTGCCCTCCCATACAGGCCGGGTCACTCCCAATTGCTGTCCCCAGCCATTCTGGTCGCCCCTAACTGCCCTCTCCTGCCAGCCTGGTTCCCTCCAATTGCCCTCCCCTGCCAGCCTGGTTTGCTCCCAAATGCCCTCCACTGTTGACCTGGTCACACCAGCTGCCCTCCCCTGCAGGCCTGATTGCTCACAACTGCCCTCTTCTGCCGGCCATCTTGTGACAATGTGGGGGTGGCCATCTTGTGACGGCCATCTTGGAACAACATCGCATGACGCCACCTAGGCTTTTATTATATAGGATAAAGAAAAAATTTAGAAACAACATGGAGGAAGGCCAGCTGACTTGATGGTAAATTAGTTATCATTTGGTAGATTCGGGGAAGAGGTTCTGACTGTCACCTGTGTGGGTCCAGAAACTCAAATACAACCCAGAGTTATGTTCTGCAGGACTATGACAAGGTAAAAAACACATGGAGATGGATGCATAAACCCCATGCAATTCAGTTTTTATCACGAAAAATATACCTGCAAACAAACCAGAAATACATGTTTTCTGATCAGTGCATTTTTCCCCAGAAAATCTACCTGAGAAGCCATATCAGAAGGTTTTTTGTTGGCATGGAGACAAAGGACCCTAATGGCTAGTGTCACTGAGTTATGAGGGCCTGGCTACATGTCTTCTACTATAAGGACTGGCTTGTCAACCAGCCCAGATATTTTTACATATGCACCAGCCCGGAGGCCCAGAATCCTGGACAGTAAGCCAAACTCTCCAACACATACTTTAATAGCATGCGGGACCTGCCTTCCTCTGTCAACACAGTTGATTGGGTTATTTTCTTTCACAATTGATCATAAGAAGATTCTGACCATCATGACTGGGCTTGAGTTTTTACCCACCTTCTCAGCCACAAATGCATCTTCAAGCATCTCTTAGAGCATGCTGTCTCTACACATGACTAAGCCCATATTATAGGTGTTGATCCTCACTAGCTTCTCTACAGGAGGAACTCTAAGTTCTTTGATTTGCTAATTCAACAATCTTGGGTTGCATGCAAATACTATCAAGCCTTAAGGACTCCTTACTATAACAATTTTCCCCTCCAAAATAATTAATATCTTAATGCACATTTTACTTCTGTAGGCTGTCATAGTCATGATCCCACTTGATGCATGCAACACCTTTGATCCATACAACACTCCACCCTTGAAATCTGTAGGGGTCTTCTCTCTCCACGTCTGCTGTAGTTTTCTCTTTCCTTTTTTTTTAAAAAATATATTTTTGTTGATTTCAGAGAGGAAGGAAGAGGGCTAGAGAGATAGAAACATCAATGATGAGAGAGAATCATTGATTGGCTGTCTCCTGCACACCCCCTACTGGGGATCGAGCCCACAACCTGGGCATGTGCCCTTGGCCGGAATCGAACCTGGGACCCTTCAAAGGGAGGCTACTTGCTGGCAGAGAGAAGTGAGCATCCTCTGTTCTTGTCAGACGTTTCATCAGGAGCTCAGGGAGGACCAGCAGGGAACTCAAGAATGTAGGCAACGTAGTGTGGGGCCCTGGAGAAGACGGGAGAGATCCAGGTGTGAGAACCTTGCTTATTTACTAAAATATAGCATACAAAATGGTTCTTGTTAATTGACCTTTTTCTTTTACCTTAACCTTTTCCTGTTTGCTTCATTTCCATGCAAAAAAAAAAATTTGTTTCTTATTCCTGAACCTCAGGAATCTCTCCTCTGGAGATATGAACTGTCTTTCTTCCAAACAATCTCTAGCTGTCTCCTGTTGGAATCCAATTTCTTTTATCTGCAGAGTTCTTGAGCACTTAAAAGTGCTCGCTGAGAAAAAGCTTTTTGTTTTCTAAATGTGCCCCTGCCATTCAAACACACTCACACAGCGTTTTCAGAAGTGAGAATATGGCTAAGTGGGAAGAAGATGGGATTTAGATGCAGATGGGCCCAGCATTATTAGCTAAGTGGCTTTGGGCCAGTTACTTATTTCCCAAACTTGCTCCTCCTCTATGGAATAAGATTATTAGTATTTATATACCTGAAAAGAATAGCGAGATGATTAAATGAAATAATATAAATAAAGCCTATGGAACAATGACAAGCATATAGCATATAAGTATAAATATACAGTGTAAAGGCCTTTATTTTTTTAAATGTATCTATACTAATAAAAGGGTAATATGCTAATTAGACCAGACGTCTGCCAGACAACCTTCCAGACAAAGCCATTGTGGTGGGGCCGAGGCAGAGGTGGTTAGAGGCAATCAGGCCAGCAGGGGAGAGCAGTTAGGGCAATCAGGCTGTCAGGGGAGAGCAGTTAGGAGGATCAGGCCAGCAGGCAGGTGAGCTGTTAGGAGCCAGTGATTGCAGATTTCGAGAGGGATGTCCAACTGCCAGATCTATAGGATCGGGCCTAAACCAGTAGTCAGACATCCCCCAAGGGATCCTGGATTGGAGAGGGTGCAGGCTGGGCTGAGGGACCTATCCCCCCCCCACCCCACCCCCACCACACACACACACAAATTTCATGCACCGGACCTCTAGTCTTATATAATAAAAGCCTAATTAATATGCTAAGTGACCAGTTGGCCAGTCAGCTATTCAACCAATCAAAGCATAATATGCTAATGATGTACTAAGGCCACTCAACACTCACTATAATGTGCACTGACCACCAGGGGGCAGATGCTCCAACCGGTATGTTAGCTTGCTGCTGGGGTTCGGACTGAGCGAGAAGTGCCAAACATGGCCTGGAGTCCTCCCATGACCCTCCCTGGGTGGCCAACCTCTCACATCCCTCCCCAGCCCCAATCGTGCACCTGTGGGGTCCCTTGGCTTGGCCTGCACCCTCTTGCAATCCGGGACCCCTTGGGGGATGTTGGAGAGCAGGTTTTGGCCTGATACCACAGGCCAGGCTGGAGGACCCCACTGGTGCACAAATTCGTGCACCAGGCCTCTAGTTTACAATAACAAAGGAAATGTCCTTATACCCAGCCTAGAATTTCTATGAATGGTAAAGCTTAGAGCATCCCAAACAGGCTTGCATTATCCAGGGACAGGCTGATGAATTAGGCAGTGCAGCTTTGCATGGCTTCAGAGATGCTCACTTCCATTTCTTCTGCAGATGCTGATTGCCAGTGGTTGGACACCCTGCGCATGCGGCAGATTGCCTCCAACACTGGTTTACAACGCTCCCAGAGCAACCCTATCCTGGGGTCACCCTTCTACCCCTACTTCAACGACCAGGATTCCTACGCCGCTGCTGTGCGGCGGACGCAGGTGCCCATTAAGTATCAACAGATCACACCCATAAACCAGTCCAGGAGCTCCTCCCCCACCCAGTACGGGCTCCCCAGGAACTTCTCTTCTCTGCATCTTGGCTCCAAGGACAGCGGCTTTGCCAGCCTCACGTCTGACAGCTCTTCGGAGAGGGCCCAGTACTCAGGCAGAAGTCGGAGCAAATACGACCGCGGATGTGTGTCGCTCAGCTCGTCTCCTCGGGGAAGGTACAGCGGGAAGAATTCGCACTCCACGCCTTCAAGAGAGAGATACTCTGGGAAGGTCTACCGAGTTCACCAGTCTGCGCTCAATGCGCATCAGTCGCCTGACATCAGGCGAAGCCCAAATGACCGCCACCAACGCCGGACCATCCCAGGGATGCCTTTGAACCCCGAGACTGACTCGGGAGCCGGCGAGGAGGAGAGCAAAGTCAGCGAAGGAGGGTGGACCAAGGTGGAATATCGGAAGAAGCCCCACAGGCCGTCTCCTGCCAAGACGAACAGAGAAAGAGCCCGAGGAAGCTACCGCGGGAGGAGAACCTTTTGATGAATTGAACTACATGAGTTTTCTTTCCTAAGCAAGCTGTAAAAAAAAAATAATTTAAAAAAAATGAATGGGTTTTCATAGGATGATGCCTTCAGATAGACTTGACAAGAAGACAACTTTTCCATTTTTGGGGGGGATTTGGGGAAAACGTTCTAATTGAAACTACTGCCAAACCAGACCCTAAATTATCGATGTTGGTGGACCAATGATAGTAACTAGACTTAATCACAGTGTACTTACTTTCCCCCCGGAATTAACCTGTTCAGAGGAGGGGATAGGCCATTGTATTACCCTAACCATTGCTGGTCTGGTTAGCAAGGGCCTGGACTGGCATGAGGTTAAGTGGGGGCACTCGTCTTAGGTGCAAAATTTAAGGGAGCACCCAAAAGCTCAATAGTCAAGAGAAATAAGATGCTAATGCAATACTTAAATAAATGAAAATTAATGCCAAAAATATGCGATAAAAAAATCAAAATCCTAGATAAAGACAGAATCAATATTAATGATTTTTCTTTTTGTCTAAGGCTCCAATATGGCTTGACAAGGTGCTGTTACTGATCTTGCCTTTATTTAAAATTTTGATATTTTGTTCCACATGACTTTTTGGCATTAATTTTCTTTTTTAAAAATATAATTTTTCTTGATTATTGAGGTGTTCCGTTTTGAGGGTTTTTTGTTGTCGTTTAATGTCCCCTTAAATTTTGTGCCCAAGGCAACTCACCCTAGTCTCAACACTACTGGTTAGTATTTATTTTAGTGAGATATTTGGGTTTTTATTATGGTCGGAGCTGGACTGACTTAGGTTGTCATTTTTAGGCAATAAAAAAATGTTACTGAACTTAATGTTGATTACGATGCATATCTCATTCATTAAGACTCATCAGAATCCAAAGATCTAGGTAAGATTTGTGGTTATTTTCCTAAGCAACTGGAGGCTT